TACTTTTGTCATTACATAGGTATTCCATACTGTTATATTAGAAGATCTGCCAGGAATGGTGAAATGTTGTAAGAGTCAAGGTGCAGATTTACTGTAGATGACCTTGCGATTAAGAAATGTTTAGACATTTACGTTGTAGTGAATTATTTTCTCCTACGTAAATGTCCAGAGAGTGCCTTAATTGCATTGATTTTATATTGAATTTTAATATAAATTATCTAAATATGACTTATTTTTAATTTATCTAAATATATGTTATTTTGGGTAATTTGCTTTTTAAGCTTTGCCCTAATTATCTAATAAAAATTTCCTGAATTGTTATATTTAAGTGTAAATTTACATGCTTAATTAAAAAATAACAAAAACATTTTGATAAAATCTACTGTTTTGGTTTTATCAATAATTAAATTTCAGACTCATTCTTATTATGGCATGGCAGCCATTACTGGCATTGTTTGCATACATTCGATTGCTGATTAGATTTGCATGGAAAATTACTTTGTTAACAGCCTTTTTTATGGTTCTTACTTGTCTCAATTACTTCTCAACTGAGGACTCATTGCATGTGCAATAATCAAGACAATTTAATGTCTATTCTGCAGCAAATATATGCAAACAACGCCAGTAATGGCTGACACAATGTGAATGAGTTCAAACTTTTATTGTCAATAACTCCAAAATGGTAGGTTTTATCAAAATTTCTTTGTTATTTTCGAATTAAGCATGTAAATTTTCACCTAAATATAACTATTCAAGAAATTTTTATTTGATAATTAGTGCGGGGGTTTAAAAAGCAAATTACCCCTTATTTTTAAATATAACGTATCTTTGGAAGAGTATTACTCTATTTTTAAGTAAGATTTTAAGTAGGATTTTTAAACTTAATCTCATCTAATAATTTAAGGGTTTTTCTAAAAAACCCTTTTTGCTCCTCTCTTAGTTTCAAATTTAATTTTTAAAAATTCTTCATTTTTATCCAAAAGTTTTGCATTTCTAAGCTCTTTCAGTTATTCTTTTAGCCATTATTAAGGGTAATTTTTATTTTTTTTTATTTTTTATGTGGGGTTTATATGTATGTATCTGAAATTATAGGAATATTTTATTTTCCAAATACAGTCAACACATTGTGGCCATGTTCATAGTTAATGTTGAGTGTTGGCCTTTTCTTTTTTATTGTTAGGGCTTCCATTATTTTTAATCAATTGATACATGTGGATGAAGCTAATAAAAAAGGAAAAGCCAACACTACGACGCATCATGCATCAACTATTTGTCATATTTTTCTAAATACTGTTTGTTCATAGATAGCATTCTGCTACCACTTGTTTTCGACTGCAAATTTTGTGCAGAAAAAGTGGATCACAGAGCCTTGATATTTTTCTCACTTCTGATTGGTCAGTCAATATTAAAATCATGTTTTCAACTACGTCTGAATTGTATCAACCTACTTTCTGACCTGAACAAAAATACAATTCTGTCAAAAATCTGTTTATGTGCTTCAAGCCTATCACATGACCACGTTGGTTATAAATACATAGTAAATTTTCATTCTTTCTCTTTTTGCTTCTCTTGCCTACCAACCATGTAGTCCAGCAGAGAAAGGTCACGTTTCTTCTTCTGTGGAGAACGCTATAAAATGCCATTGTTGGACGCTGCTCTATTTATGTGTTGGGGTTATCAAAGGTAATTGCGTGTTCTAAAAGCATTCAACTATTATACATTTAACAATTCAAGAAAAAACAACGAGACTCCAATTGTGCATCAACAATAAAATATATATTGAAACAATAACATACAAAACAATCAATGGTGTGTAGTAATTAAGGAGAAAAAGTAGCTTCCCTTTAATTGTATTCTGAATAAGATTGAATGTTCAAAAGAATTTATCTTGGATAAGGATGTTTAGGATTCTATGTTGAATAGAATGTTTGGTATTGAATAGAATACAGTCAATTAAGAAATGTGTTGTTTTGTGTAATCAACAGAGTGCTGGTTTGTAAACTTGGCTTAGTCACAGAGAAGAAGAATAGTGTAACGTGATACAAAAATCTGTGTCTGTATGCGTTGTGAGCAAAGCCGTGGATTTGTGTAGATAGGTGTAATATCTGGACTCTACTGAAAGTTTTGGAAACAAACCACTTGTTTATATAACTGCTGTTAGGCTCCCAGCGACAATGCAGGAAAGTAGATTTATAACAAAAATGTTTGATTGGTTAAAATTCAACCAATCACTGATTTTGTAACAAAAACATATGTGAGCAAATTCACTGCAGAAAAATTCACTGTGGTGACTACGATTGCTAAATTGTCTTATGGTAAAGCAGTATCTATTTACTGGCCAATCACAGTTGAGTAAGTTGTGGGCATGGAAAGTGTAGCAGTCGCTACACCATCACACATACACACATACGTATGTACGGGACATTACGTACTATTCACATATACGAATTCACTCAAACACATTTACATTCAACAATTTCCAAGAACATGGAACATATTAAGTATGAGAACAAACATTACGAAAATTCTCTCATACAAGTCGTTCACCCAGCAAGTGAATAAGTACGAACTAGTGAGATTTTCTTTAACAAACAAACATAACTCTTGTCAATATTCACCAGCGAGAAATATTAATTCAAAATCCTCTGGAGCCATAAGTTAAGATCAGCTTTCCAGAATTCTCTCATTCATATTCAACTCCCTTCGGTGAAAAATTCAACTTTTTGATATTTCATGAACTGAAATTTTTTCTCTGATCTCAGATAAAAATATTTCCTCTTAAAAAGCTTTAAGAACTTCAAGTTAAAGGGAAATAACTCCTGCTATTAATTTCACCTCTTACTATATAAAAATCACACACTTGATTGTTTGTATATCATAAAATTATTTGTTATTATAAAACAGTTTTTGTGTTGCTTCTATTATTTCATATTTTGTGGTATTTTGTGTTAATATAAATTTGTTAAGCCATATGAAGCCTCAACAGATATATAAAATTATAAATCCATGACAAAGTGGAAAAAGGTTTTGTGAAATGTGTTTCATCCTTTAGGTCGTATTCAGACTAAAGTGTTGTTTAAGTTAATGCAACTGCACATGTGCATGAAGAAGAGGGTACACTGAAATTTTAAATCTAAATTTTTTTTCAAAATGTGTTTTGGGTATATCATTTTCCCATATATATATATATATATATTCATAAGCTACTGGTTATATGCAGTTAATTTATTTTTAAACATCCAGCTTCTAGCTAGCGAGATTATAGTAACTTTTGTTCTCCATACTTAATTCAATTGTGTGCCTTTTTTTAAGTGGGGGTGACTGTAGAAGATTAAAGTTGTTACCTATGACCTTGTGCGAACCTACTTATGCACGAACATGTACATACAAACACAAAATCAGATGTACAATGCCAAACGATCATTGGCTAATAAATCACTAATACATTTTCTACAGGCAATTTACAAATTGCAGTAATGCAACAATTTTGGAATCGCTTTATTTTTTAAGTAGTCAAATTTGTGCACTTTTGGGAGAAGTGGCTCACAGAAACTCCCTTGAGTCTCCCCAAAGCTTGCTCACTCATTGATTGATGCCAACCAATCACATCGTTTGCACGTGAAGAATAATTTTTCCCGTGCAACGAATCGGAGCCTATAGTCTCGTATTTAAGCCAAGATTTTTCTCATATCAATTAGTGAGAACTCAACTGCTAAATGAATCTACGACAGTTGGAACTCCAGTTCTAACCATGCGCCAACCTTCTCACTCAAATGCGCACCCACATGCTGATGATAATTTTTACACCTTCACTAAAAACTTCTTTTGACACAACTTTTCAACAGTAATATCACAAGAACAATCATATCATGAAACACTTATGAAGATTTATCCAGTGAACTTTAAACCAAATAATTATCTCTCACTAAACTCTTAAATTGCAGCCAAAGATAGGCAACTTTTGATTAATTCAACGTTTCTTACTTAAATGCATGTTTTCTTTCACATCATTGTTTGATATTGTACATCTTGTTAATATAGATATATTTTATGTGCAACAAAGTCTTGTGGTTATTCTTCTTGTGTGAGTCCTGCTTTTTTATCAAAGTTAAATTAATGTGGTGAAGTACCCCACAACCTTGATGACAGGTCACAAGAGAAAGTAACTGTTATTTTCGCTATTTTAAGTAAAAAGTAAATATTAATTTTTCAACGACCAGTTAATTAATCCTTAAATTTAATAATTTACTTTAAAACAAATCTCTTCGACAAATATTGGATTTTTAAGAGATTTTTAAATTTATTCGTTTTCAATGTTTTAAAAAACATTTAAAAACTTAAAATTATTTTTTTTTTAATACAGATTAGCTTTAGGTTATTATCTTGCAAATAAAAACCAACATTTAACTTCAAAGAACACATCTATTATTTAAAATGCATTTTTAATTGTTTTTAAGTCTTTATTTACACCCTCCCTCGTGATACCGAGTATTTCAAACTGCTTTTAGATTTAATTTTAGAGATTCATGATTTGGAGTTTGGACTGAGTACTCGCACAACAAAAAGCTATCGTTAAACTACAAGATCGTTCATGATTTGTAATTATTATTAATCTTAAAACTAAAAGCTATTATTTATTATTCTGTATTTATTTGAATTTTTAAGAAGTTGATTTCTTTTGAAAATTCGTCATTTCCCGCGCAAAACGGAAGTTCCGGTTTGCCAACTTCCTTAGCAACGTTATGGCGCCATGTGTTTGGTTTGCTCGCTTTCAAGAAGACGACGACGACAATGAATTCAGCTTTAAGTAAAACACAGCAGGAATTTTCTTTTATATCCCGGTCCTTTGAGGTCACCACCCACGGTTTTATATTTTCAAAAAAGACCCAGTGATGTTATGTCTTTCTTAAACGCAGAATTTTAATTCTCTTTCCTGTGTTTTTAAATTCAATAAATTTGTATTTTTTAAACGAAAACAAGTCAACACTCAATTTCACACAATGGTAAGTAAATTATTTTAATTTAAGTTTTAATTTTAAGATTCAAAATATATCGTTTTTGTTAAGCCATATGTTGCTAGTTAATACATTAAAAAAAAGTTTAAATTTTGTTTACAAACGATGTATAACGAATGGATTTTTAAAAAAAGTATTATTTATTTACTAAGTAAGAAAAACGATTATTTTTTGTTTGTTTTGAAACGTTGGGAAATTTAAAGAAGAAAGTAAACTAAATTTATTGTTATCAAAACAATCTAGAGTATTAAGATTATAGTTTCAAAAGATATTTGAATACAAATGCTAATTTATTAAATTTCCATTTCCTTTTGAGCTAGCCTCATATTCTGAAGAATCCTTTTTTTTGAATTCGACGAAAAGCGATGAATCAGAATCCGAATATAAATTGAAATATATCCACGCATTTTTCTTCTCAGGGATTTAAAATAAATTAAACTTTATTTCTAATTAAAAAAAAAAATAAATTTATTAGATTTTCGTTTTATTCATGACTTAAAAAATCTCCAAAAAGAAATAGGCTTGTTGTCTTATTTTTTATTAATTTATTTTTGTTACACAATTTTTCAAAAATATTTTCGTTGTTGAATTTTTATTCTTCTTGTACAATGCAGTTTGTTTATCAACTTATCGTAAACTCGTTGAATAAGACTAAAAGAGGAAGTTTATATTATCTTTGATTTTCTGATTTGAAAACAGTAAAAAAAAAAATCGATCTTTTGCATGTTTTATCCTTTCAAGATGTAGACGATCATGGCTCTCCACAGTTGTTGCTCTTATTAATTTTGTTTTTACCATTCCTCTTTGTCATTGTTCGGCAATAAAGTCGCATTATCTAAAATTACGTAAAACTTTAATGGGGGAAAAAAAGACAACAACAACAACATTTACAATTTTACTTTCACTTACAGTTGGAATAAATGAATCTTCCTCTTTGCTTTGCGTGTCATCCCAGAAATTCAGACAGAAAAAAATGAACTTTTCAAAAAATGTATCTAATAACAATACTAAAAAATAATAAAAAAAAGACTATTAAATAAATTAGTTTCTATTTTTCCTTAAAACTACAGCTTAAAAATAAATACAATAAAAATAGCTTATTGCTAAAAATAAATAAAATGTTATCCCTCTAGCCAAAGCTAAAAATATCTGAAGAAGTGAGACTAATTGCCAAAGGCTGTTTTATTGATGACCAGAAAAAAAAAAAAAAAAAATCATAACATTTAGGGTATAAGGAGGATGGATAAAAATTGATCCTGAACTTGAAGAAGTTAAGATTGTATCTTTCAGGAAAGCATCCACATGGGAGGTGTTCCACAAAGTAACAAGAAAAAGCTAAGTGGAATTTTCTCCTTACATTTGGAATATGGGGGAAATAAAGGTGATTTGACTTGTTGGAAGTAGAATGATACCTTCTAGCAGAAAAGATCTGAACTGGTGGAAGTAGAGAATAGAGTTCATCGACACATTTACCATGGAAATAGTGGTAGTGTAGTAATAGGCTTGAGATGTCGTGTCTCTGGGAAACAGGCCACAGAGTAGAGAATATGTCTTCCTTCAACAGAATGCATTAACATGTTTTAACTCTATTCAGAATATGAGGATTGAACAGCTCCAGCCTAGATATGGCAGTATAACGGGAGAGAGCTACAGTAGAACGATTTATTCTTCAATTTGTATCCCCCCCCACAATTATGACCATTATCATATCCATAATATTGTAACGAAAGACATGACTTACCTCAGAATTTGAAACCAGCGCGAACATGTCTTGCCTGCAAAGTGATGACAAAAAAAAGAAATATGGCCGCTATTGAAGACACAGTTTATGTGTGCATTTGCACACATGCAAATTTTGGGATAAAAAGTGAGGTGCCAGAAACACGGTGAGAAGAAAAAAGTCGTTCAACGGACTGCGTGTGTTAGAGTTGGACATACGGATTGACAGACAAAGAGGAAGTTGAAGTAGGCGTGGCTGAGTTGGTGTCTGTTTCACAACTGCGCAGTGTAACGGTTGAGAAAGGGAGCCACACAATCCATTTCCTTGATGTGACTGAAGAAGAAGAAAATGAGTTGGCCTGCTGGCGAGCGTCACACTGCACTTTTTAACCCCCCTCATCATCATTTTTTTTTTTTAACTACAAATATAATAACATCATTATTCGTGTACAAAACAAAAAGGCTGAAAGGAAAAAGAATGACAAACATGGTTTGTTCTTAAAGAGACTTTTATAATACTAAGACATACACAAAACCATATATATATATATATATATATATATATATATATATATATATATATATATACACACACACACATGTCCCATACAGAGAATAATATATCACATATATCTACACAGCAAAGCAAAGTGTAAGGAGAAACATAAAGGAAAATATGGAAATTCTTCTGTGCCTCTGGAGAAGCCATGTTTAGAAATCCAGACTCAAATGGGTTGGATTCATCTATGTCCCAGGTGAAGACATATACCATAAAGAGGAAATGGCGAGTCTAAGGTTTTCCCAAATTGAGGAATGAGAGCTGGAGTTTCTTTCTATATCTGAGGAAGATATATTCCCAGTGTGAAATGGCTCCATGTGCTTGTAAGCTGCTGTGGGAGGCAGGGTTACTCTAAGTCTGGGCCTCTTGGCCCAGGATAAAAAAAACAAAAGCAACCACTCGGTTTGGCTGCTGTAAGCAAACTTACTGACTGGCCACTCTCATCACTGGAGTTATATCATTAAGTGATTGTCATGTGACATCTCAACCAAAGGGAGATAATCCCTCTCTGTATCCATACAGCAGCAATAATTCATTTTAATCTCAGACTGTTGTAAAAAATAAAGCATGTGGCAGAAAGATGTTCTTTTTTTTTTATGGCTTATCAACTTTTAATGTTATTTATAGCCAGAATATTTTCTGATTGTAAGGATTTTTTGGATAAAGGTGTTAGTTAGATCCAGTGACAGGACCCAAAGAGTGTGAGACAAGTTTTAGTGGGTTGTATTTGTGTCAGCCTGCTGGAGGAACTATAAGTAGTGTACAGTAATCATTAAAAGTGCTGTCTCATTTGTTTATAACTCAGTGGTAAATGTTTGCATTTTATATCTGCCGTTATAATTCAACCCCTAGTTTTGAAAAAAATTTTAAAGCTTGAAAACTGAACTTGTATGCCACAATTTACCGTAATCATTGTCATTGCTGCTATTAAATTATATTCAAATTTACCTATTTTATTCCTTGTTTGAAGCATGTGGAAGATCGTTAATCCTTTCTATCTCTTGTTTGCTGACAGCCAAAAATCATCTTTCTTTTCCTATAAAATAAATGCCTTCATTCGATTGTCAAAATCAACAATCAGTAGCAGCCTCTGCAACACCTTTTTTTCCCTACATATTAAGATATATTAAACAAATAGAAGTATTCTTTATTTTAGTACTATATATGAAAATAATAGTTATTTTCTCCTTACAACAAAGTTGAGTTTTTCTTACCTTAAAGCAAAGAAACAATTGAATCTTCCTGGACATATAATTAATAGTCACAGGACCAAGAGAAGCAAGATGAAATAGTAATCTATGAGTAAATAGACCAGGGCAAGTGCAAGGCTCTCGACCCCCTCCTTCCAATCTATTACGTCTCAGTTTTCATATAAAAGCCAAATTTTATTATAATCTAATTATATACAATAATGGATCATATACAATATAGTAAACGATTCAATTAGAACAATTGAAAATAAGTATAATGTATCTAAATAGAAATTAGAGACATGTCATTTTCATCCTTTTAATAGTCAATTGTGCTTAGTTTATTTTGTAATGTATATAAATGTAAGTAGAAAAAGGCAAATGTTTATAAGATAGCAAGGGTCACAAAGCATTGTCACTTATCAATGATTATGGATCACTTACTAGGTAAACTGGTTTGTGTCTTATCTTTTGCAAGAAACTTTATCACAGTCATCAACAGGGCACATTCAGACTACTATTTAATTGAGTCTCTGTATATTAAGTCCAAGCAACCTTGCCTCTGTAAGCAGAAGGAATTGTTGCTGGGTCTTAATATAATCTCTTTATAATCCATTGTGCTAACACCACTAGCAATATACAGGTTTATTTCTTGTTTACAGCTTATTCCTGCTTCCCTCTGTATGTTTATATTTTTGTTTTTTTAACTAATGTTCACCCCATATAAAGCCCAAGAGCCACTTAATGTAGAGGGTTACTGAAGGAGGTTTGTTTTGTGAGCAGTAAGAGATGCAATTTATGAGGACATGTGGGGAAGATAATGGTCAACCTGAGACAGGTTAAGATTGTAGTGGTTGGGAAAGCATCTTCTTGGGAGTCAGTTGTTCATGGGAAGAAACTATTCAAATGGAATGTACTTCTCAGTAATGGAATGGGAATGAGGGTAGTTTGCCTCGTGGTGGGTCTTAGCTGGGAGGGTTAGAGTTAGGTGGAACTAAGGAATGTAATTCATCCGAACATTTTCCATGGAAGTTGCAATAGAGTAGTGAGAGGCTAGCAATATTTCATTTGTGAGGAAAGGGGTTGTAGGGTGGAAAATAATTCATCACCCACAAGGCCACATAGGCACTTTTAAACTAGAAAGTAAAAACTAGGCAGCTCTGTCCAAGATATGACAGTAGTGTTCCATTTCCAGCCTGCTCTGGCTCTTGTAAAGGTAGAGTCATAGCAGGAGGAGTTGTATTAGAAATCATTTTGTTAACACCTTTAATGATGGATTGTATATTGGCTGAATGGTTTTCAGACTGACATGCTATGTCTGCATAGGAAGATGGGCAAGTGATTAGGATGTTAGCAATCTGATCATCAGATCTGTTATTGATTTGTCAAGGAGATGATTTTATAATATTGAATTGAGGAAATGATCCCATCACACGGCACTGTTGGGAAGTGTTTGAAAACCATACCTTGGGTTGACCCATGCTTTACAAGTGAAATTGGGTAGATGAAACTGTTTGGAAGCCATTGATGGTTGTACTAACACAAAATTGCAAGTCAACGTGACTGAGAGGTCTTCTGTGGTTGTGCTAACACAAAGTGGCAAGTCACCTTGACCAAGGGTTCTTCTGTGGTTGTGCTAACACAAAGTCACAAGTCAACGTGACCGAGAGGTCTTCTGTGATTGTGCTAACACAAAGTCACAAGTCATCATGGCTGATGGTTTGAGCATACTCACCTTGTTTAAACAGTTTATCATGCCAGACTATTTAACAATAGAGAAACTGTAACTATGGTCTGCTCAGCATAGTTGCCGTATAAACCACAGGTTGGCTCTGTGGTTGCTTAAGAAATAAAAATGTGGCCGAGCAGGCATCTGCAACTGACATTAGTTGGCTGCCCCTTACTGAGATATATTCAGAAATGAACAACCATACATTATATATGTGTCTGTTTTAGTGGTTTTGCTTACTTTGTTTTTATCTTGTGTCAAGGCACATGTGCGGAGATACACCTTACAGCAGCGCGAGAAACTATTGCAGTCTCAGCACCGGGCAGATGAAGAACGCAAAGCTATCCTAAAACAACTGGAATTGGAGAACATGGCACAGTCCCATAAGAATATCGAAGCAATGTCCGAAGAACGGAGATACAATCGAAGGTTGGCAATGGAGAGAAAAGAACGTGAATTAGAGGAGGGCATCCTTCAGGTGTGCAATTTTACATTTCTCTTGCTTTGCTTAAGTTTGCTTCACCATGTCCTCTTGTCAATATTTCTCATGTTTGAAGAGTTAAATTAAACAGTCTAGAACCGTGGTTCCCAAACAGTGTGGCATGCCTCATAGGTGTGGCAAAAGAGGATAGCATGTGAGGTGGAATGATTGAAAGAAAATCAAAGATCTAGAAACAATTTAAAAAAAATTTGGATGCCAAAAATAAATATGATTTCAAAATTTAAAATATTATTATGATTTACTTGTAATAGCATGCATGAGTCCCAGTATAAATAGTTATAAATAATTATTGACCGATTGTATCATTGTTATATTTTTGCATTATATCCTGTATTGAGAATATAGTAACTCGGGTCTGCAAACTGGAGAAGAGAGTTATCAATGATAATGCTCTGATATCTCCCTTTAACCTTCTCTCTGTTTTTTTTTTTTTATTTTTAAAATGTACTTTTTATCACATAAAATTTTCATTCCAAAAATGCAATCCAGAGGAAAAAAGGTTTGGGGCCACTGGACTAAGGTAAGCTTTGTAAATATCTATATTGTTAGTAGTTCCTTTTCCTATGTCCCTTATGGGTTTGATTAAGGTAGTGTTTTCCAAATGGTGCAATGCACCTCTTGGTGTGTCAGAAGAGGATAGCAGATGAGGCAGAAGGATTGAAAGACACACAATTGTGGTTATAATGTTTTAGAATGGTATTCCTCAACATTGGTTTCATTGTTTTAGACTAGTTTACTGAAGTATCTAAAAAGTACAGGTTATTTATTTGTAAATTCTATCCAGGCTGAGAGAAATCAGATAGCTCACAAACAGCAAGTGGAGCAAGAGGAAAGGCTGGCCCAGGAAATAAAGCGTAGAAATTTGGAAAAAATGCGTGATGAGAAGATGAGGCAGCAAATCCGGGAGAACAGGTAAGTGGCCTATTTATTGTAGTAATTGATGTTCTAGGTCATCTTTGGGCAAGGTGGGGAAACTTGCAGTTACTCTATTGTTTGTAAAATATTTAAAATTAAAAACACTCGATATTTTAAAAGTTCCAACGATTTTAAAAATATTCTGTTGTTTTTTAGTTGCCTATGAGGTTAAGGTGTCATGAATTAACAAACAAAAAATTGATTTTTACAGCCCACCTATGGGCCCAAAAGCAATAATTTTGAAACCCTTTTTAATCAGATCTTCAAATATTCAGGATTTTCTAGTTTTAATGATACCTATGTTTTGTGAAAAATATTAAGGAAATCCAAGAAGGAAGTGTTACATGGTCTGGATTATTTGATGCGGAATTTCCTTTTTGCCAGAATTTCCAGTTTTGAAATGTAAAATGCACTTTTAATAAATGAGAAATATTTTTTCATTTGGCACCAATGACCAATCATTCAGCTTGAGAAATGAGTTTTACTTATTTTGCTTCCCTTATTTCATGGCATACAAAACTCAATTTTTTTTTTAATGGCATATGCAACTCATTTTTTAATTACATACAGGACTTATTTATTTTGTGGCATATGAACTTGACTTTTTAATAGCATGACTCACTTTTCTATCTGCATGTTAACATTTCATTCATATATATATATATATATATATATATATATATACACACACACACACACACACAAGTATAGGATTGATGTATATGGAATAAATTCTAATGACCAAAAAATACTATTCTTAAGAGTGCTCAATACAGAGTAGAGCAAATATAATTTATTTAAAAATTATGACATAATTATGTTATAAAATCACTACAAAAATAGCCATTTTGTTTCAACACTACAAGTGATGATGGTGATTCAACACCATCATTTGATAAAACACCAGACGTGTCGAAACAAAATGGCTATTTTTGTAGTGATTTTATAACATGTTTATGTTTTAATTTTCAAATAAATTATATATATATATATATATATATGTGCTATATATTTAGTGATTCTTGATAAAATCTAAAGAAGAATCTGCAGTGTTATAGGTCATGACCTGGCATCTCAGACTCGGTCACTTTCCCCACTTACATAACATAGCTTCCTTCTGCCTTTTCCATAAATACTTTCATGGTAATTGTTCTAATGAACTTTCCTTTATAGTAAATAAACTTTATGAATTTAAGCCCAGTACTAGATTTGGCAACAAGGTCTCATCATTTTACAGTTGAAAGGGCTAGATGTAGCCATAAGTTCTGTGCTAACAGTTTTTTCTGTCACACTTCTTGCTTGTGGAACTCTTTCCCGGTTTCTTGTCAACTTTTTTCTTCAAAAATTTAAATGCAATGTCAATCATTATTTTCTGTCTTAATTCTTGGTCTTTTATTGTTTTCTTTCTTAATAGCGTTTTGTCATATTATCTAATACTTAGTAACCCCCTTGTGTCTTAGTGGCTTTTTCACCTTGCTTGTGGGTAAAAGGATTTTTTAAAAATCTGTAATAAATGCATGAAAAGAAACTCATTTTGAACTGGATTAAGTACAGAGAATGAAATTAGAGAAGGCTAGTTTTAGTTTTTGGTTACACCTATATTCCTGGAATATATATATATATATATATATATATATATATATATATAAAGACATTTATTATGTTTTAACGTTGTTATTTTATGTTTTAAGCAAATGTTGTTATTTTTATAGATACAAGTATTTAAATAAATGCTCTTTGACAATAATAATAACAGTAATAAAATGTCTTTAATAACATTTACCTTGTCCTTTCTTAATGTCCGATATATATTTATATATATATATACACACACACATATATATTCATTTGACAAAGAACTGTTATATTTTTTTTTTCCAATGAAACATTTAATTAGTGCACATTCAACGGGTCGCCCTTGCAGATCAACCACAGATTTTCGATTGGATTCAAATCAGCAGATTATCAGGGCCAATCAATAGTACTTTAATTTGCTAACTGATAAAGCTTATCAGTGTGTTTATAAAGTATTACCATTTTCATATGCTTTTTTGGAGTAACGCCCATTGCAGACAATGGCCGCAGGACAACTAATCGACAATTGAGACAATTGCTTGGACGGGATAAAAATCTGATGCAATCACAGATGATGCAATATTTTTCAAGGCCAAACAAATTTCATCATACACCCTGAAAATAGGTTTATATTACTGCATACTATTGAGGAAAAGATTAGAAATCGATTACATCCTGCCATGCCAGTGGGTCTAAAACTGACCGAATGGTGAAAGAAAACAAACTAAAGCGGTTGTTTCAATTAATTTGCACAAGGATGTATGGGGAAGGATTGATTTTACTTTTAATTTTTTGCATCTCAATGTCTCTAGACAGGTCATCAAAAACGAATCAAAATACATAGGGAGTATAATAATTGTTTAAACATTTGTGAATCTTGCATATGAGGTTTGTGCAAAAGTTTTCTGCATTTTCTTTTTTAATTCTCTTCAAAAATGGAGACACTGGCAAGTTTTGCAAACAACTTATAAAATTTTTCGCTTATCTCATTTGTCAATTCATGTTTGATTTAGATATGTGCAAAATAATTTTCAAAAGCTTTCTTTTCTTTTATTGTTTTTTCACCTCGTCTCTCCATCAAGCCTGGAGATTCGTGAATTGGAGGAGAAACTAAAGGCAGCTTATTTAAATAAAGCCAGGGCTGCACAGATTGCTGAAAAGGAATTACAGAGATTACAACAGATGGTAAGAAAGCAAATGCAATTTTAATGATTTTTAAAATTTTCATTTTTATGTCTATATTTCTGAGATTAAGTATTATAATTATTTACACTATTTACATTGTTTGGACTATAGTCCTCATCTTCATTGTCATGTTCATGACATCTCTGCTGTTGTATTCTCTGGCCTTCTTCAGATGATTTACGTTTTATTTTTATCCAACAGCTCATTAATACCTGTATCATCTCATTTTTGGAATGGCTATATTTTTTATATATATATATATATATATATATATATATACACACACACACACACATAAAAATATAGTTTTATGGTATATATATATATATATATATATATACACACACACACCATAAAAATATAGTTTTAGTTTTATATATATATATATATATATATATATATATATATATATATATATATAGCATACACCCAGGCATATGCATATATTAGAGGCTTTTTTTTGCAAACTTGTACACATATATATGCCCCTGCTCATATATATCTGTACAGACACACACACACACACACACACACACACACACTAATAGAGCCTTTTTTATATAAACTTGTACATATATAAACACACATACAACTATGTCTTTTATATATATATATATATATATATATATATATATATATATACACATATCTGAACACACATATGCATGTATATGTGCCCCTCTCATATATACATGTACACACACACACACACACACACATATATATATATATATATATATATATATATATATATATATATATATAGTTTATGCAAACTTAGGTAATCCATATGGGTAGACCCAGGGGTTGTTGTAGCTTCTTCCTTTAATGTCGGTCTTCTCCTTCACCCCTTAGCCATCTATATCTAGAGACGAGACGCTGCGTTAAATTTGAGCAACATCTAGCTGACACACTGGGGTAAAAAATAGGAAACTGAAATGATACATATTACACACTTATATCCTCTCTCCCACCTCACTCCCTCACTTCGTTAATTTTACGTATACTTGATGAGGTCCATCAAAACGTGTGAATTTCTTTTCATTTTCATTTCAGCTTTTGGAAGTAAAGTCTGATGATCCAGAACCCTGTAAAAGGGGTTATGGTGAAATAGCTTATTACATGGAATCTTAATGTGGTCTGTTTTTTATTCAAAATATATATATATATATATATATATATATATATATATATATATATATATATTTTTTTTTTTTTTTTTTGAGGTTTGCTATTTTTTCCTGATTTTATTGTTTACCATTGTTGTCGGAGGGGTCATCAGTAGTATGCAGTAAATATTTGGGATGTTGTTTTGGTGTTGTTGTTCACAATTGTTGTAGGGCAAAGGTCAGTGACTGCCAGGAGGATATTTCTGTTATTGTTCAACAATGGGATAGAGAATCTTGGCATGTGAGATGCTATTTAAAAGTTTGGCAGATTGAGCATTTTCAAACTCTCCTATCTTCAGTGGCACTTTTCTGAAGTCTCCTATTTTTGGCAGCACTTTTCCCAAAGCCTCCTGTCTTCGGCGGCACTTTTCCCAAAGCCTCCTGTCTTCGGCGGCACTTTTCCCAAAGCCTCCTGTCTTCGGCAGCACTTTTCCCAAATCTTCCTATCTTTGGTGGCACATTGTATATTTTAGGTAGATATCTAAACTTTAATTTTTTAATTAAATAATTCCTGATGAATTTGTAGTCTGATATTTGTCAAAATGTTTTGCAGAAAGCTGAGACAATTCTTTTCCATGAAATGAACAAAGAATTAGAAAAGGCTAAATGCGAAGAACAAGTCAAAGAAGAAGAAAGACAGAAACTTCAAATGGTTTACCAGCAACAACTGGAGAAGCAGTTGGAAGAACAAGAACAGAAAAAGCAGCAGGCATATGAAGATTTCTTGCACGAGAAGCGCATGATTGATGAAATTGTCCGCAAAATTTTAGACGAGGATCAGAAGTGAGTATAGTTTTCAAATATTCTTCAGATACCAGCACAAGTTCACATGAGAATTTATGAAAAGGAATAATTTATTTGTTATTGTTCAGGAGTTCCAATTTCTTTCTGGAAGTCTTTGTCTTGTAGTGAGCGCCAGCTTCTTTGAGAAAATGGTTATTTTTTTAGAAGATGGTTATTCTTAAAGAGTGATTCTGGTGAGAAAGCTAGTTCCAGAAAAACTATTGTCTCTCAGTTTGGTCAAAGAGCAAACACCAATGTGACCAGTGAGGACAGATGATTGCTTATAGGTCTCATAATGACAATTAATTTTTGAACAAGCCTTTTGACCACTTCTTCCTGACTTGCACAAGAGTCTTTAAGATTAATTCCAAAGTTCTCAGATTAAAAATATTTGGCAATGCTTAACCTTTGTGCCTGAATAAAAAAATGGTGTGCCAAAAGAACGGTTATTCCCTTCACACTGCTATTGTTGTATACACTTTTGACTCCCTCAGCATTAAAATTCTAATCGCTTTCTAAAACCATGATTTAAAACGTGATGATGAGAATTTTAGTAAAATCCAAAAATCTGAAAATGGATTCATACATCTTTATTCTTGAGAATTGACAATAATTTTTTTTTTTTTTTAACTATATCACCCCAAGCAAGGTGGGAGTGCCACTAGCATGCAAAGGGTTACAGAGAGTAAGAGCAAGATTAAAGTGGGGTGTTTGAAGAAAGGATATAGAGAAGGACAGGGATTAGGATCAAGGCATCAGAAGATGTTGATTGACATTACATTTGAAGATTATTGCTATCAGAGAAGCAAGTAAGATTTTTTAGAAGAATTTTATAGTGACAAGATTACAAAAATATGTGAACCAACTATAAGGAAATATTTATTATTCGCCATTTTATAAAGAAATAAATATAAAAAAAAGGATTATTTTTATTTATAAAAATAATAAATAAAAAATTAAAACAAGAAGTTATCAGAAACATAAAATAATCCGAGGAGAGACTATCTGGAAAATCTTACATTTATTCAAATTTTGTTTTATAATTCATTGATATTTAAAATATATCTCACAAATAAGGGAAAGAACAGATGGAGTCAGAATCCACAGTTCATAGCATTTACTTTTAAAAAAAAAGTGCTCAATACAAAGCAGAGCAAAATATTATTATGATATTTTTATTATAATAGATGACAATAAAAACATTACATCGCTACACAAAAACTTTCATGTTTCAGAACTATAATGGTCTTTTCTTGGATAACTTGTGAAAAAATGATTCATTTGGGAAATTTGAAAACAAATCGTTACCTCTTTTGAAAGTTAAAAAGGCAGGGGCCTAAGGTCAGAATGAATAAATATACTTGTGGGTATGTCTAGATTAACCAGACAGATCTAAGCTAAAATAGAAAAATGAAAAATAAAGTCAGAGGGTCGAAGTAGATGGATTCATGTCAAGATAAAGTGACGCTCTACACATGTCATCAACAAAAGTATTGTGTACATAGCCAAATGTAGAGTTCAGATTTGTAGACATAATGCTACCATAAACAATTTTTTTTTAATTTTTAAAAGTTTTTTATATACTCAGGAAACTTCTTAAAGTGGCCAATAAGTTAAAAAAAACAATGGAACATTTATATATGATGCTAATTGAGTGGATGGTAAAATATAGCAATATTAAAGTTGAAAAAATCAAATAAATATTGGGTTGACCATTATATACTAATGAGATAATGTCTATGTAATTGTAATGCTTAATTATTTATGAAAAATTCTTTTAACTATATTTTAAGGTGAAAGGTAGACAATGTCTGCATAACACTGTTAATTCATTTCTTTGGTTTAACAGATTTTTATTGTTCAGAAACTTTATAATATGCAGTTTTTCTTGTAAACACAGAAGACATGGGTCATGCAAGGATTTACAAATTCTAGTTTTTTTAATATTTTATTTTATTTTTTATTAATTTCTTTTAAATGCCAAAAATATTTAGAAAGGGATGTTCTGTTATGGTACGTATTGTTGTTGAAAGAACCACCTAGTTTTAAAGGAATTTTTGGTACTGCCAATATAAAATGGTAAATAATAATTATTGCCTTGTGTTGTGGCGTAATGGATATTTGCTCAGAATGAGAAATCAGAGAACTGAGTTTGAATTCCTGTCAAGTTTGTTACATTCACTTACACACAAATACCCGTAGGAAAGGTAGGAATCCATCTCTTTAACTCCCAGCTATGGGTTGAATAAATTGGATAAATTTTAAAATTGTGCTTATGTTGGTGACATAAGTATAGTTTCAAACATGACGTTTGTAAATAAAAAACAAAGTACAGATAACTTTTTAAGAAGTCAAGGGTCAATTTGACATTGTATATTATAAACAGGAACCTCTCCTGAAATCTCAAAATAAAAGAAAAAAATCAGTATTTTTCTTCTGACATTTTTTTTTTTTAAAACAAGTGGATCAGTTAATATTTATGTCATACCACTTCATTTTTTTATATCCCAAAGTTCTCAGTATTTGTCTATATTTCTGAGATGAGGTATTATACACTATTTACATTATTCGGACTATTGTCATCATCTTTGTCACCATATTTATTACGATGTTTCGTCCCTTTAGTATCTGTCTATATTTCTGAGATGAGGTATTATGTACACTATTTACATTATTTGGACTATTGTCCTTATCTTTTGTGCCATATTTATCACAACGCTTTTGGCCCTTCAGTATCTGTCTATATTTCTGAGATGAGGATTGGTTATTTACATTATTCGACTATTGTCCTCATTTGGTGCCATATTTATCCGTTTTTGTTTCGCCTTCTTCAATTGGTTGGAATAAACAAATTGAACCCTTTATTTTGTGCCATTTTCTGGTTCATGCCATGTCATTGGATCTCTCCTGTTAATTCCCTCTCAAGTTCTCCACTTTCCACATTGCGAGTTCAATACCTGGTTAAGGCAGTGGAGAACTTGGAGAGGTGAATTAACAGGAGATAACTGACATCCATTAGACATGGCATGTGGAACTAGAACAGTCTACCCCAGCGAATGAAATAAAGGGTTTAGTTTGACCTTCCAACCACCTGAAGAAGACCGGAGCATACAACGGCCAAAACGTTGTGATAAATATGGTAACATATATGAGGATGATAGTCTGAATAGTGTAAATAGTGGCCAAAGTTATGAGATTAAGAATCGTCATTATTTCATATATTTTTGGGGGTCAGCATCTTCCACATTGTTGCTTTGCACATAATGTAGTAACAACCATGGAAGGTGAAACATAGCAGCCAACAACAATGTTACAAACAGTAGCTGTTGTTTGACATTGGGATTATTGAAACTCTTTGAAAGCCGTAAGAGCAAATCGTTTCTGATGGTCAGTGGCATTTGCATTATTCTACTTGAAACGTGAGAAAAAAAGTTCAGTAGTTACGTTAATCTGTAGAAATTCCCTAACATGTTTTAGTGAAATTTTCACTTTCCAAAATTGTAGTTTAAAATAATATTTACAAAAAGGAAAAGAAGTGATGTGTGTTAAATAAACATGTGGTGTCACACCTGGTGTGGTCCAGATCAATTAGAACGTCTTGTGAAAGTTTCTTGTTTGGTCTCTAACAGGGAACGTGAACGGCAGATGGCCAAGCAGCAAGAAACACAGGCATATATCACAGAATTCTTAGAAGCAAGAGAATGCTGGAAGGAGCAGGAGAGATTGAAAATGGAGGAAGAAAACAAGAAAATTCTGGAATACGCTCAATTGCAGAGTGAACGGCAACACCAACAAAAACAACAGAAAGCCGAGCGTGAAGCCATTCTCTCAAAGACACACCAAGTGGTAAGTATTCACAACAGCATATACCAAAAATTGGGGTAGACGTATATTGTATAGATGTATAGAAAATAGTGTGATCACTCCAAACTGTACCATTTTGACTTATGAAATATTGCATTGGATTGCCTTTTGTCTTTTATATTTCTTGTGTATGAAGTTTAATATCATATTATAATTGTACATGTTTCACCTTTTACCTATCTATTATACTCTGCCATTACCTCAAATAAATAACAAACCATTCCATTTTGTTTGCAAGGATAGAGGGAAGAAAAAAAAAGATATTTCGGAGAGTGTTGTAACTGAGTTATCAAAAACAAATCTATATCTTAACAATAATATATTCTATATTTTAACAATATTTTCTATATTTTAATAATATATTCTATATTTTAATAATAATATAGAATAGAAACTAGGGAAGAGAATGTTTAGGTGTGAATGACTGTTTTCCGCAAAGGCTACTGCTGCTACTCCTCTTGATGTAGGAGTATTTTTTATGTCTTTTGTCTGAAGGCTGAGTACAAACTTGTAGGGAGATATTCTCTCTCACAACAAAGAAGCTGTTTGGTTTTAGTGAAATAAAAGAAAGCATGCATAATGAAGAAAGGGAAAATAGATGAAGCGATAAGGCTATCAGGCACTTAACGTCTGCTTCAGGAAATGAGTTTTTAATATTTTCATTTGTATCCTCTTACTTCTTTAAATAATATATTAATAATGTAATGTGGGAATAAAGTAAAGCAGGCAAGAGAAAGAAAGAACAAACATGGATGTGATAATGCTCGTGTGTGTCTGCTTCAGTATGATGCGATAAAGCTCGTGTGTCTGCTTTAGTAAAATGATAAACCTTGTCACTTTCATATCTTTTCATTTGTATCCTCTTACTTCTTTAAATAATGACCTGTATTCATACTTATGCTTGTTATTGCAATATTTTGTTAAAGTTGTCCTATATCCTTTGTCATAGAAATCTCTTTATTTTCAGCTATCACTCCCTTGGACAAATGTAACATCTGTTGTCATCATCTGCTTTCCTGAATCCTGTTCTTCTATTGTCTTTTTGTCTCACTAACGTCTCCTCATTCTCTTTCATTCCCAGTAACCTCTTGCATCTTAGTGGCATTATAGCCTTGTTTGGGGGGGGGTGAAATGATTTAAGAGAGAGGGGACTAAATTGTTATCATGGATAAGGATAACTACAATAATTAAAAAAAAAAGGAAAATTGTTGATGAAATTATTCAGTAATTCTGATATTTGTATTTTACTCTTTACTACATTATTTTTCTTTATTTTTTGTCGTAGCTTTCTGAGCAAATTGCCCGCGAGGAACGAGAGCGTGAGGAATTAGAAAAGATCCGTTTGGAACTCTGTCTTGAAGAACAAGAAGAAAAAACAAGGCAGGAAGAAATGGCAAGTTTATTTTTATTTATTCCTTGTGTATATAAATGTTTGTATGATTGTAAGTTTTGTAAGCTAGGGCATACCAACTGTGATCTTCTTCATTTATAAATATTACTCCCCCCCCCATTTTACTGTATATGGAATCTCCTCAGAATATAGTGTTTTTTTATATATTATTAGTTCTATATATTTGAAATTGCAGTAGCCTGGCTCTCAATTTCAATCAGGATTTTTTTAGGTGTTGCCATAGAAGGATATGACTACAAATTAAACTTACATTGGCAGTACTAACATTTTGCATGGTGAAAATAGTCACATACAGTGTGCTAAAGGTTAAGTGACAAGCTGGAAAAAATGCCAAATAATTTTAAATTGATTTTTTTTTATCTTTTGAAGAAAATGAGTGTGAAATTCATTCAAATATTAATTTCAATAATTATAACAAAAATTTTGCAGACTTAAATTTACAAAATTACTTTGAGAAATTCACTCAAATTATAATGTTAGAGTGTTGCCTGTTATGTGATATACTTTGATGTGTCCCTTTGGTTGAGATAGTCACATGGATCATGTGACAGTTACTTACTAATGTCATTTCATAGTGATGAGAGTGGCCAGTCATTCAATTTGTTGATAGCAGCCAAACCAAGTGGTTGCTTTTTTAGCCTGGACCAAAGCTACATCTGCAGTCCTAACTTTGGGAAAACCCGCCATTTCCCGTTCCATTCGCGGAATATGTCTTTACCTGTGACATAGCAGATGAATCTGGAGTCCTAAACATGGCTTCTCCAGAAACACATGAAGAATCTCCATCTTATATGTAATACCCTTCCTTTTTGTTTCTCCTTACACTCTACTCACTGTGTAAATATATGTGATATATTTTTCTCCATGTGGGACATGTGTATCTATGTATATATAGTTTGAGAACAAAGCATGTTTGTCATTCTTTTTCTGTTCCATCCATGAAATACAGTGTTGTTATATCACGGATATAATAATGCCCATTACAGGGGAAATGTAAATGGGAGAATAAATCTTTCTAGCATATTTCTCTCCTGTTATATTTCATAAATATTTGTCTATATCAAGCATTTGTCTGATGATTGCAAAAGCATGAAACCCAGGGTTACAAAGTAATATCCATACAACTGAATATGTTAGCTCTATCACAGACATTTAGCACTTTCCACTAAGTACCACATATATATATATATATATATATATATATATATATGATGGATTCTCCCATAAAGTTCAATGTATGAGGTTCTGACGACCACAAACTAATTATCTGCATTTCTATGACTTTTAAGACCAGTTCGAGAATTGCACAAAAGACCACAAACAGTACAGGAGAATGTATTGTATCCAAGTGCAGCAGGAACACTGTTAGCCGTTTTATTTTGCTTTCGTGTTTCACGCAGTCGAATGATGCTTACTGCTTGATGCTGTTTTATTCCTGAATGTCATCTAGAACGATACTCTGATCTCTTCATAGATACCTCTTCAAATTTCTTGAATGGAATGTTGACGCAAGAAAGGTTGCTCTTCAGTTTATCTTTATACCTGAGCCAAGGTCTACCAACGTTTCTATGACCACTATAGAGTTAGCCGTAGAAAAAAAAGTTTTGGTATATGATCATCACTCATCCTTGCCATATGGCCACCTCAACGCAGTTTTGATTGCATTATAAAGGTCTCAATGGTACCAATATTGCATTTCTCAAAAAGGTCGGCATTTGACACTCGATCATCAAATCTTAGGCTACAGATTGTATGGAGACAATCTTTATGGAAGACATCTAATTGTTTAATGTGACATCTATAAGGTGTTCAAGTTTCAGAGCCATACAAATGATTTAACAAAACAACAGCTTTGTACACTTGGATTTTAGTGCAAAGCTTTATTACTCTTTTGTCCCACAATCTATGACTCAGCAAACTCTCTCTTTTTTCTCTATATATATATATATATATATATATTATATATATTGAGGGAGGATATATATATATATATATATATATATATATATATATATATAAAGGAAAAAAATCCATGACATTTTGTTCTTTAGGACCCCATTGGACGAAAGTAATGTTTACATTGATGTAACTACACAAAAAGAAAAGGGAACAGTGAAATTTTAATCTGTGTTTTGCTTTATAGTCTAGCCAATTTCATTTAGTTTCTTTTACTTTTTGTCTGTTTTTATCACTTTTGCTATATATATATATATATATATATATATTGCTTTCTGATATCTTTTTTATCTTTGTCTCATTTCCTGTGAGATGACTTATTAAATAGGTCAATGTCTGGTCTTTACCCCCCACACCTTATCTCTCCCTTCCTTTTCTAATTTCAACCATATCTGTTGTCCTCCTCCTCCACCTACCTCTATCACCTTACATTAACTTATAACTACCCCTCAAAAGTGTATAAAAATAATACATGAATTTTTTTTATGCTTGGAAATGTGATCTGAAGAACCAGGAAAAAACATCTTCCTGGGGAAATAAAATATAATGAATGGACTCTTAAGGTTGTCCGTTTTCTAATTTTAATTAAATTTATATTTATATATATATATATACTATTTACATTGCTTGGACTATAATCCTCATCTTTGTTGCCATATTTATCACATATGCTAGGCCACAAAAATCTCCTGAGCCGACCAAGTATAGAAATGAACACAATATGGAAACCAGTAATAAGGAGTGCTATATGAGCTCTGGTAAAAAACATGCAATGAATACAGCAAAAATTGCAATATGAGCACTGCTAAAAAATGGTTGCTGAAGACATTAGGTTTATAATACCCAGAAATTCATACACAGATGTCCTCAAGGCACAGTGGATAAAGGCGCTAGTTAGATCCAGTGACAGGACCCAAAGAGTGTGAGTTCAATACCCGGTTAAGGCGGTGGAGAACTTTCAGAGGGGAATTAACAGGAGATAACTGATAAGTGATATCCATTAAACATGGCACGTGGAACTAGAACAGTCTACTCCAGCGAGCAAAATAAAGGGTTCAGTTCGACATTCCAACCACCTGAAGAAGGCTGGAGTGTACAACGACCGAAATGTTGTGATAAATATGGCAACATAGATGGGGATGATTGTCTGAGCAATGTAAATAGTGTACATAATACCTCATCTCAGAAATATAAGTGGACACTGAGGTCAACACCATAAAGAATTACCAGATATATTTTTGTAAAATCCAACTCAATTCTTTAGAAATTGTTTTGTTTACATTTCAGATATGAACAGATATGACTTTCAAGAAGATCTGAACAAGTAAATGTGTTTTAAAGGCAAATGTCATCTTGCATGATTGTGAAGCTCTTTGTGGTCGAAGCACATAGGATTAAATGGCAGTTTCTTTTGCAAAGGGAGGATGCAGGTTTGAATCCTGCTGGAGGGTGCATTTCCTTTAATAAGTCTTCTTGAGAGTCCAAGACAAAATAAATACTGTTTAAAATAAAATGAAACGTCTACTCATATAAGGGATATCCACTAAATGAATAACATTTAAAATAATATCACATTTTATTGACTACATAGTCATAAAAAGGCCTCTGTACTTTGGATCCAGATAAATCAATTTACATTCTACTTTACTTTGGGGCTTATGGCCAGATCCCATTGAAGCATTGCTTCCCATATGATCATTGAAATTAAGCAACGTCAAGCCTGGTCAGTATCTAGATGGGTGACCTGCTTGTGAATACCAAGTGCTGTAAGGTAGAAAGTAAGAGTGATGTTATGGATAATGGCTCGGAATTGTTAATCGGAGAGCCATGTTCCAATTCCTGTTGGGTTCATTATATTCATTTACATGCAAATATCTTTGGGGTAAAGGTATGAATCTAGCACTTCTACCCCCAGCTATGGGTTAATTAGTAAGTCTTATATCACTAAACACTAAAACCTTTATCACAAAAAAATAAGAATTCTTACAATCTAAAAATATTTTCTGGCTTTAAATAACCTACAAAGGGGTGATAAACCATAGAAAATGAATCAATCAATCAACCAGCGAGCTTAAGCATTGAAATGCAATGTAGGGTAATCAGGGTTTGGTCAGTGGAAAACTTGGGTGAGGGCTGCTGGATCTCCCTCTGCATTTTGTGACCCCAAATGCAGTAAAAACAATGGAAAACGGTTATAATTTCCTAATTAGATGTTTGTGAAATATCTTGCAGGCAGCTTTGGAGAAGAAAATCCGGGCGAGGCTAGAATTGCAACGAATCAACGAACAACAAATGGCTTTGAGAGCTGCGCAGAAGGTTGCTGAAGAAGAAGAAGAACGCCGTTTCAGGGAAATGGTAAGCAGTTATTACATCTTGTATTGGTTGTTTGTTTTTTTTTGTTTGTTTTTTTTTTTTTTGTTTTGATGAATGCAAAGTTCTAAGAATGTTCTTTCTGAGAGATATTATATTTATACTAGCAGAACTACCTGTCCTTGTCTGGGTTTCTAAATATCTAAAATGTACAAAGTCAAATAAGTAGACAGAACTTTGTATCAAAAAGATGCTGACGATCTTAAGTTTATCTTGGTGTATTGATCCAATCTGAATTGTTGCTTCCAAACAATTCAAAAAACAATTCCATTTTACAAAGGAAAAATAGAATTTACCAAAGTTGAACTTGATGGGTGTGATTGTTTCAGCTTTCATATATTCTCATCATTAACAAATTGTTGATAGCTTTATCAAGTCTTCTTTTTTGTGAGAGTTTCCCACCTTTCAGGAAAGTCAGCTGAATTAAGATAGTTATTAGGATTGAAACCTCGTCTGAACCAGAAAACCAAAATCCGTGGCCTATCGGAATGAATATGAAGATACGTCACAGTGCTTGTGGCACAGGTAGGCAACAGAAAGGAAGTTTTCCACTAGACAGCATAAGTCCAATGAAAGAGACAAAATTAGCTACGGCCAATTCATGCATCATCCATTTCACTTTAGATATTTCAATGTTACTTATTTAGATAAGATAATTTATTTTTAAAACCACTTTTATGGAGAGCATTTTCATACAATTCTTTATTTTTATTAAAGATGTTTACGCTGGACGATAATCCTAGTGCCGACAGTGGTGGGTATTTGTCTCACAATGGCATTGGGGTGGTTAGAATTAACATTAATATAGGTGGGGGTTTCATTCTCTTTATGCTATGATTTAAACATTTTATCATTGAGGTTAAAGGTGATGTCTAGATAATCAACTATGTTAAAGTTAGAGGAAATCTCAATCCTGAACGCTAGTAAATTAAAGGCCCTAATGATTTTCATTTGTATCTTTGCTGTTAGTGGACCATTACTATTGGGGATGAAAATGAGTTTGTTATTTCTTTATAGACCTATTAGTTTGAGATCTACAATTCTACTAAGTGTATCTAAAATCTAAAACCATACTAAATCAGCAACCAGGGGTTGAATAGTGGTGCTAGAACTCTAGTCCTAAAATTAACAAGAAAGTGAATTGAAAAATGTTGTATCCAAGCTTCAGGTTTCATATTTAATTTGGTAAAGTGTAGCAGAACGTAGCTTCTGGGAGTGAGGTCAGGGAATTGGATTCTTGATGAATGAGTTACTTAAATAGAACCATCTCAGAAGTCAAAATTGCTTATTTGAATAAACATCTTTTTTTTTCTTTTTTCTTTTTTTTTCTTTTTAAATCTTTCTCTGATGTAGATGATGGCCAAATTTGCTGAAGATGACCGTTTGGAACAGATGAATGCCCAGAAACGTCGCATGAAGCAACTTGATCACAGACGAGAAGTGGAACGAATCATTGAGGAGCGAAGAGTAAAACGAATCCGAGAAAGGGTGAGTGACATCTGGAAGGAGGAATTTCTTTTATTAGGTATTTTCAAAACTCATGCATTTGCTATTCTAATTCCAGAATAGATTTGACATTTTTCTTGTAAAGAGATATAATAAAACTTACACGTCTATATATATATATATATATATATATATATGTGTGTGTGTGTGTGTGCAAAAAAAAGGAAAGAACACGTTAGGTAAATAATCCGGAGTTCTTTAGTATTTTTGTTTTTATTTTTAAAAAACAGTGCTCCATACAGAAGTAGAGCTTAAATTATAATTAATTTTTAAAACATGATTCCTTTGCTACATAAGAGTTCTCATGTTTCAAAAACAAGAGCCAAAAACTTAATATAATTATTAAAATTAAATTGAATTAAAGTATCAAGCCCTGTTTCATCCTCAAGCGAAAATTTAGGAATAACCAATCTTGAAATTTACGCATCTTTATAAGCATGTTCATTCGTAAAATTAATTACTATGGAAACGGCTGGAGCGACCATTTTGATAAGGGGCATAAGAGTTAACAATTTCTTTCCACATATCAATCACCTTCGGAAAGAGGTCAAGCCAAGGCAGGGCTGGGGTGACCATTTCAAAGTGAATGATGGCATTCATATACGCACGCACATTGTCTGGTCAGTCACAGCAACAGATAGCTGTTGGCACCATCGTACGTCGTTAAGTGTCTAAAGAATTTTTTTCTAAAGGGCTGTTTTGTACATAAACGCGTCGCACTGAACTACAATTTGTTTTTTTGACGACTTCATAAAGGGTTTTTCTATCTTATGATTGGGTTAAGCTTTTAAACGTTTTATTAGACTGAAATTTATTTTTTTTATGCTAATTATTCAATGCGAAAATTTGTTGATGTCAGCAAAAACCCATTAACTCATGTCTATGGTTTAATAAATTTTCATTATTTAGAAACTTAATAATGTGTAGTTTTTCATGTAGGCATAAAGGGCATGGGTCATCCCGGGTATATATATATATATATATATATATATATATATATAATAAAACTTAGGTGTCTATTTAAATTATTTCATTTACACAATGTAGGAAGCAACAAAATATGCATCATTTTTTAAATTTTAGTATTTTAAACTAAAACTGTAACAAGCAAAATCCAATTACCTTATTTAAAAAATGGAAATCTCTTGTTTGGAAACCTTGAAGCCCATATCTGCTAAGTTTTCTATATTTGAAATGTAAACAAAGTAATTTTTAAAGAAATTAATAACTTCATTTCCAAAGTCAGAGTTTAACAAATAAATCTTGAACTCAAGTCTCGAATTAGTTATCTTTCCTGTTATATTATCCTTTTGTAAACTAATACAACTACAGACATTAACCCTCTGCCTTGAGTGGCTTGTGGGCTTTGTATTGGGTGAACACTAGTTAGAAGAAAGAATGATGTAAGTTTAATTGGCAACCGCCATTTACATGCAAATCTGTGTCTGTTGTGATGCAGGCAAAAATTTAAGCAAATGTCTTTTATTACCTGGATGATGTTCAATGTGTTATCTTTCTGTGATTTTAGCACGAGGAAGATGAGATGCAACGTGAGTTGAGACAACTGGAAGAACTAAAGAAGGCCATTGTGGAGGAAGAAAGGCAGAAATTGCTAAAGGAACATGCCCAGAAACTGATTGGCTACTTGCCGAAGGTACGTATTAAGATTAACTTTACAACTCTGCAGGTTTACATGCCCGTCAGCGATACTCTTTCTCAATATTCTCTGGGCAGACATATTCACCAAGTAACACCGCTTTGTTTCAAAAGGAAAGTATGTTTCTAAAAATAACCTATTACTAATGAAATGGCGTCATTAAGCTTGTGATAAGAACTGGGAATGACAGGATGTCAGTCATTTTGCCCTAATTATAATAGCTATTTTATCAGTGTATTTTAATAAAGTGTTTTAAATACGTTCATTTTTCGATCACAATTGAGACCCCACCCAGAGCAAGTTGTGGATCTGTTACTTCAATAGAGGAACTTTTCATGGACAGTGAGAGCAACGAAGAATTTCAGATTTACTCACACAGATATTGGTGATATGTGTGACAGTGAGAATGAAAGTGATTTCAACCAATCCCAAGCATACAATCCCCCGTGGCTACCAGAGTTTTGCTATACTCCTGGGCCTACAAATGTTGATCAAGAAGCTAGTGAGGTAGACGTTCTTCATCTTTTATCTGGAAGAAGTTATTCAATTAGTTTGCATACCGGTTAGTTTCCATTATGTGAAAACAAAATTTGGTGAAACAGCAAAGAAATGAAAGCATTTTTGGCCTTGGTTTTGTTGATAAATTTGATTAAGCGACTTTCGTATTCATCTTACTGGACAACAGACCCCGTCCCCTATTTTATATGCAAGGCTTTCACAATGTGATGAGTAGGGATCATTTTTCATTAATTCTATCATATTTTTCTTTTTTATATTTTTAATTTTTTTCTCAAAATTTATTATATGTACAGTAAAAAAAATGGTCTGCATTTTTCTACATCCTTTCATGCAAATACCCTGAAAATTTTATAATAATGTCTCTAAAACCGTAAAAGTTACAGTGCTAGTAATATACCCACCATTCCAAAACTTAACACACCCAAAATTAATGTGGATGTCAGGAATACAACTTTGAAAATTAGTGTGGAGTTGTAAAGGTTAAATTCTTTTGTTTTCATTCTTTAAGAATATATATATATATATATATATATATATATATATATATATATATATATATATATATAATGTCATTCATGAACAGTACTGTACATCTGAATGCCTCCAGCCTGGATCGAAACTCAATCAATTTGGTGTCAGTCAGAGTTTCTACCACTGAGCTATCTTCATTCAACAGAGAGAAACAGCTAAATCTAGCGTATTGTTTTTACAGATGTAAACAAATGCAAATCAGCCGGAGTGCTCAAATTCATTTTACTGAAGAGCTTTGTATTAATGCCGGTAGCTGTTGTTTTTTAGAATTAGCCTATCACTCAACAGTACTTTATATATATATATATATATATATATATATATATATATATATATATATATATATATATATATATATTTTTTTGAATTTTATATTATATTCAATGTACTTGTAAAAATTGAAATAACCATTTCTCACTTTATATAAAAGCAATATATAGTGAGACATTGATGAGGTTGACAATGAGTGTAACAGCAATTCTTTTATGCGAGTGTGGTTTGCCCAAACACTTATTCACCCATTTCTCCCCATTAAACATGGGGTAGTGTCAGGGATATTTTATCAAGATGGGACAAATTTCACGGAGATGTAGATTCATACCTTTTCCAAGGACATTAATTTGAACATTATTTACTTGTTCTGTTTTCTGTGCCAGTTAACAGTTAAACTACTGCCACATGGATGTGCAGGCAGCAAGCCGGTTATCAGTGCATGTCGTCTTCCATCTATGGGTTAAATTCTCTTACCTTGCATGGCAACCAGTTTAGGAGAAAGAAAACTGAATTCAAAAACAGCCTGAAGGGGAGTGGACTTTGTTAGACAATCTTGCCTTAGACATAGCATTGCTGTCATGGCTGCAGTACATGTGGTGACTCTACAACACTAAAGGATTACAGAATACATGACATGACTTTCATGATATAAATTAATATCCATTCTTTTCTTTTTTTTTTTCCCTCCTCTCTTCAGGGTGTAATCCAAAGCGAGAAGGATCTCGATATGCTTGGAGAAGACTTTAAAAAGGTTTACAGCAAAAGAGAAAGAGATCCATTTGATGAGGAATGCTGAGAACTGCCTATACCTCAAAAGAAAAGAAAAAAAAAAGAAAAAGCAGTTGAACTTTTTAGCATGTATTTATAAATAAAGCAATCTCTTCCATGGCTTTTTTTTCATTTACATCTAGTTATTAAAATAAGCTCTAAATTTTTCTTCTTTCCCTCTGGAGTTTTGTGTGTCTGTGCCTTTCAAAGAAGAAATTTTTTTTTGTGATATGCTATGGGCTCAATAAAATATTTTGAAATTAGTTTTTTTTTTTTTTTTTTTATCATTTGCATTGGCAAGAACAAAATTTGTAAAATAGATATTGTAACAGATATCAGTCAGCAGAGTTCAAATTTTAGCTTGTTCTTTTGCCTTCACTTTCACACACATGCCCTTTTTCTAACACTAGAGGTCAAATTAAAGTGCCGACTGGATTCTCTAGCTTTAGTGATTCTAAACCGCAGAAAGTATGATTGGATTCAAAATCCCTTCATAAATGTCCCTTCTAATATCGGACTCCCATTATGTGAAGAAGAATTGTCCACCATTTCTAGTGATTGAGGGCTCAAAATATTCACCAGTATCCATTGATATATTTTTTATTTCAATTATCCCACATTAACTAAAAAGGCTTTATCAGTTTTATTGTAATTTTCTACTTTATGTGAATTAGGCTTCTCGATCCTAAATAACATCAAAAATAAGGAGTGAGAAGACTACACTCAACTGACGATGAAATGAGGGTCTGCTTATTGCACATTTGACTAAACATTGAAGAAATTGTGAAAAACACTGGACCCAGGGTTCACACTAAATGAGTTGCAAATATGTTGTGCATGTATTTTTAGAAAATCTATGGTTTTATTTCATAGCCTTTAAATGTATACACTATGAAAATTTTACTAAGTGTGCTGTTGCTTAAAAAAGGTTGAGAAACACTGCCTAAGATGTTTGTAATGCCTGTTTGTAGAAGAGACTTTGTAAATCAGATACAAGAATAGTAACGTCCTCGAACAATACTCAGACACTGCTAATTCCTATATATATATATATATATATATATATATATATTTTTTTTTTTTTTTTTCCTTTACCTGTCGTGATCTAATTATTTCAAGATGAGGTTGACAGTGCTTGCTTTCTTTCTGGTGATCTGTGTTCAAACCCAAGTGTTGGCAGTAACACTATTCCTACACTAGCAGTAGAGCCTGGCGTTGCCCGGGGATATAACAGTAAGAGATAGATCAAGTATCCACCATCATAAAGACTTAAAAATAAAATTGACAAAGATTATTGTTTAAGGTTGACGGACACGCATGTCTTAATTTTTTTTTTTTTTTTTTTACGAATTGGTCAAACCCAAACTCAAACAAAAACATTGTTTTCAATCGTTATGAGTCTACCGATTGAATAGAATTTTATTATAAACAATTGTCTTGTAAATGGAATTTTTAAAGCATTCTGAATGTAAAAATAAAGTAAAAAGTGTGCAAGACAATAAGAAACGCTACCTGCCAAAAAAAAAGTTTTGTTGAAATCAGTTGAAAAATGTAGGAAATCCGATCCCATATATATACGAACACAGACATACACACACAAACAACCTGGGTTTTATAATAAGTATAACTCGATATGAGCTGTTCCTCTTTCATTCTCGTGACAGCGATGCCTCTTAATCGTGTTTTCAAATTGATTTTGGGCAAATATTTGGCACTGTTAGAACCACTGCAAGGTAATTTTACGTAGTCCTGTGAAGTTTTGTTGAAATCGGTTGAAAAATGTAGGAAATCCGATCCAATATATAAACGTTACAGATACACACACAATCTTCGTTTTATAAGATGGTAACCTGAATTCAGAATAAGGCAATAGGAAACCATTCCCCTATATTTTCCAAGAGTAAAGTTGTGGAGACTCCTGATTGCCTAAATGAAGTGAAAAGTGTAATTGGCGAGCTGAGTTCAAATTCTAGCTTAGCATTCACTTTCGCACACCATTTCTCCCTCCCCAAATCTAAAGTTGGATTCTGTAGACTTGAATGGTTCAGAGAAAGATAACCCTGAATTCAAAACTTAAAGGTGACGGGAAACCTCTCCACTGTCTTTCCTCAAGAAGAAATGAAGCTGTGGAGATCCATGACTGCCTACATTCTGAAAGGGACAAGGATATAAAGAAAGAAACATTGGAAAGTATTTCAAAAGAAAAAAAAACATTACAAAAGTGAAAATATGTATTTTGTCTGAATTTCTAGGATTACGGTCTTCCAGGTTTGTCGGTATGTTTTATTCATTGCACATTCTTCTGGAGCTCATTGATCTGAGCAACTGTCGGGGAATTTCAAGCTGAACCCTTTATTTAATCCATAGGGGTTAGACTTGTTATATTTTTAGTGATATCAGTGTCAGCCAATAACTTATTAAATGTTAAAAAAAATGTTGCAGAAATTTTGATTTATTATATTCTATTGACGATTATCAGCGAAGTGAAGCGGACTTCAGAAGAATCATGTCAAACGACCCTGACAAAAGTTCAGCTGAGTGGAGCAAACTTGATGAAGGAATTTTTTTAAATGAAAGCTGATAGGACAAAGAATGTTTTTTTCTCTATAAGACAGTGGCCACTAGCAGTTGAAAACAGAGGACCACTTGCTGTGAAAAGGAAGGCACACACCAATTAGACTATTCACCTCCCTGAATTCTTTACAGGAGGTTACAACCAAATAAAATTTGCCAATTGCTACAATTGTCTCATGGTTTTATTTCATGGATACCAAGAAGTTATTTTTTTAAGCCACAAGTGTTCTCCTGGAAGAAGCTGCACCCTGAGAACGAACCTGGTGTGTCTGGTCTGAGCTGCAATGCTATATTCTGCTGTTCCATGTCAAGGGAAATCTAATTTCATTATTTCAGTTATTGTCCCATTTTAGTCAGTTCTTGTATTAAAGCATCAGTTTGTGAATTTGGTGGCAGAATTCAATCCCTGGGCCAAGTAGTATAGATTTAAAAGAAACAGAGCAGCAATATCCAAGTATTATTAGACGAGACAATGTTAGCAATGAAAAACAGAATAAGAAGCACCAACCCATGTTGATTAAATAATAAAGGCTTTAAAATTATCTGAAGGTTACCTTGAAACTCACATACTTTGAAGAAGACTGGAAACAATGACTGAAACATTATTATTACAATGATGAGGATATTAGTCCAAATATAAACAATAAAAAATACATTCTTTTAGGTCAATGGTTCCCAAACTTTTTTTCTCTGGGGTATATTTTTGGAATGAAAATTTGCTAGTGCCTCACCAAATTTTATGCTATAAAAAGTACATTTAAAAATAGAAACTGGAGAGGGTTAAAGGGAGATAATGGCAGGTTCAAAATCAGAACATTATCATTGATAACTCTCTCCTCCAATTTGCAGATCTTAGTATATTCTTAATACTGGATATAATGCAAAAATATAACAATGATACAATCAGTCAATAATTATTTATAACTATTTATACTGGGATTCATGCATGCAATTACAAGTAAACCATAATATTTTAAATTTTGAAATCATATTTATTTTTGGCATATGAATTTTTTTGAAACTGTTTCTAAATCTTTGGCTTTCAATCATTCTGCCTCACCTGCTATCCTCTTCTGCTGCACTGTTTGAGAACCACTGTTTTCTTATCAAAACCCACCTTTATACATCTTCTTCACTTCTAATGTGTAAAACAGTTTTAAAAATTGTTTCTGAGTCTTCTGAAATACAAGTAAAATGAGAACTATCTTTTTCCGTGATCTATTTCTCTTGGGAACACAAGCAGATGCGGTAAGCTTGGATTCGCAGATAGTGTAATCCATAATAGCTTGGAATTGTTAATCAAAAAAACCAAGTTCAAATTCCTATTGTGTTTGTTATATTCACATACACGCACTTACCCTTGGGAAAGGTGTGAATTCATTCTCTGTCCCATCTATGGGTTAATTAGTAAAACTTGTATCACTAAACCATTATCTCCAAAAGAAAAAACAAAACATTCTAACAATCTAAAAATAGTTTCTGGCTTTAAATATCCTGCAAAGGGTTGATAAGTTGTAAAAAATCAATCTTGGAAATATACAATGTAACAGGAAAAAATAAAAATTAGTCCTTTTTCACTATGAATTATATAAAAAATTGCTCTATTTTTTTTATTATTGTTGATTTTTTATCTCAACCTTTTTCTTCTATTACTTTATTGCTAATTCTAATGGATGTGCAGATGTGGGTGGGTGGGGGGACGTTCATGGATAATGGCTAAGAATGAGAAATTGCAGAGCTGAATTTGAATTCCACTTTACATTTGTTTATGTGCAGATACCCTTGAAAAAGGTATGGATCTATCTCTTCAAATTCCCCCAAGCTATGGGTTAAATAGTAGGACTGGGTTCTTCATCTTTGGTTGGTAACTAGTCTAGGGGAAGGACAACACTGAATTCAAAAACCATACATAACCCTGCTGATGAAGGACATATTATATACAGCTAATAAAAGTATTGTAGAATTCACAATGACTACGATTCTGATTGTGGTCAATCTGATGGGTTTTATCCTAACATTCTGAATTGACAAATCTTTGCTAAAATAAAGAAGGCAAAAGTAAATCCTTACATCTTAGAACCCATGGGCGTCAACTTAAATCACTTTAGTCATGGGTGACTTATTAAGTGGAGCACAAATCTGTATTTCTGGACTGGGATTTCAATTTTTGTTGAGAATTACTAAAAAGAAAGTGAGCTATAACAATACAGAACCCAGCATCCACGGCGTAATGATAGATATTAATTGAGCATAGTATCTGCACCAAAGTCATCAGCCAATCAGGAATAGAGAAAAGGCTTGACTAAGTAGAAAAATGGAAAATTCCAGTCTGTTATATAAACCACTGACCAGCTGACCCAGACGGATTGCCAGAGAAGACTCAACTTCCAATACAGTTGAGTACTGTTTGTTTCTCCAACTAAATCCTAAACTTTATTTCAGTGGACAAAGTCT